GAAGTGTTAGTTAATTCCATTGTTCCCAAGTCTCAAAATAATTGAGAGGAAGAAAAAGAATTGTGAATACATCAGTGTGATGGTAGGCAAATGTAGCCCAGTTTGTAAAATCGGTCTTAAATTTGACTTATGCAAGAAATTTTCTTTTGTAATTCTGTTAGCATTGACTTTTTGCCTATTAAGTGCCTGCAGTATGTATTTCTGCCAGATAAGACCCTCACAGAGGTGCAGCTGTAGCAGAAAAACAGCTATTGTGGTGGAGTTTATAATAAATTCAGGGAAATTAAATGAGTAAGAGCAACTTTGACTGAAGGTTTTTTTGACACAGCAGATGATTAGTTGGAATCATAGATAATAATTAGACTGAGTCCAGAGAACATCTCTAAAGTCCCTAAATATTCATCTACTTAATCACTACTGCTTTATGTTAAGTACACTGAAAACTGAATTTCAGTAGAGATGGTGTAGAACCAGTGCATCATAATGGCAAATTTGTTTGGCTGTCATGGAGCTGAAGTGAATTTTATAAAACCATGCTTTAAAAAGATGTAGGTGACAATCCTACAATAAAATCTATGCACTATGCTACACAGAAATCCAGTTACTGAGAGGATTTTCCATATAGGCATTTTCCATATTTTCAAATTTTCCATATTTTCAATATAAGCCACAGATTTTCGGGTCAGAGCTGCAGTTCCTCCAATAAAATGTTGAACACATCTGATACTGAGGAAAGGATTAAGCTGTGACAGCACAAAATTAAATTACCTCTTTTCAGTTTCTACAGCAAGAAGATAGAATGGCTTTACTGTCCTTCCAAATAAAGCTAATGTAGTATTTAAAAATAAAATTACGTATTAAAATAACAGCAATGATTAAGCAAAAAATGTAAGGAGGAAGTTTGCATCAAGCAGTGTAAGACAAACTGTCATGGTCACTTCATGTATCCAGAAGCACAAACATGATCCTAAGACATTGAAGTGATTGACATTTGAGAATTCGTGTTCAGTTTTGTTTATTTTCTAAAGGGACTAATAATTTGCTTGATTTCAAACTGGCTTTTATTGTGTTTGGCAGCCACTGCTCGCTGAGGCCAGGGAACAGCAGGTACTGACATACAGAGGGAAATAAGTAGCCACTTGTTGCCTGGACTATCAAGTTAATATGTGTGTCCACAATGAGCTGATGGAAACACAAGCCTGTTACAGTTTTTGCAGACACACAACCATAAACAAGTGTGTATGTCTCTCAACCAACTTGTCGTTCACAACTGGAACACCATAAATGTCAAGGGAACATGAATACCTTCCTCTTGCAATAGTTCGCTAAGTTCAAGTGAATCTCTTGGAGATATTAAAAGGAAAAAAAACATGGCTACTAATTTAAAGGAAAAAACACAAGCAGAAATATTTTGCAAGAAGTCAGTGAGTCATATTTTCCTCATAAAATTGTTGAAACTATTGTGCCCAGAAACAATTAAATATGTGACTAGGGCTGGAAAAGTTTAGCCATAAACACAAACAGACACCAGCTTTTTTGTTTGTAGAGGATGAAGGTCATTTGGCTTGAGGAATATCCTAATACTAGCAGAGGCGAAGCAGAACATGCAGTTTGAGAGTCCTCACTGTGGCATAGAAGCTCAAATGTTTTTACCCTTACATGTCTGGATACACTGAAGGTTAAATGGCTGTGGGAAGTCATTGGTCCATCATTGAAATATGGACAAACAACCGTATTTCTTTGATTTGAAAACAATACTCTCTTGATTTATATTAAAAACACATTTCTGAGACCTGAAATCTCAATCTTACAAAATTGCACATATTAAAATGTTGGATCAGTCCATGGCAGTTTGGAGGTTGGTTTAAGACTTACAGGCATTGTAAGACTTTTTCAAGACATCTTGGGTTTTTTTCCAGTAGTTTGGTGTTGCATTGCCCCTGGAAATAGTCTCCTTCAGTTTGACCTGATGTTTTTGCACTCTACATATCCCAGGCCCCACTTGCTACCGTGTTCACATCCTGTGCTTTTTGGGAAGATTAAAAGTGAGGAAGTACCACTGCTCCCACGGGTATAATCCCTGTATTTATGAGATTTGGAGAAACTGGCCTACGCAGCAGAGGTTACAGGTTGGAAGACAGATTTGAACTCAGCTTTGTCGGGAGTCCTTATCTGATTTATTTCTAGCCTAAAGGGAGAGTTGAATTTGAGATGTGTCCAGATGCTTTTTCTCAGGGGCAGTTATAATGTAGCTCAGCACTTTTATACAGACACTCTGGCTAGAAAAACCCTCTGTTTAAACAACTGCATTTATAAATCTTTCTTATAAATAAAATGTTGTCTTGACATCCTACTTATGGTCTTCTACTCAGAAGTGTGAAATGAGCTGTAAGATTTCTAGGTGCTACAAAAAGTCTATCTGCTGATGTGTATCAAGAGGTATTTGACTTGGTCCACATATTTTCCAAGTAAGAAAGATAACCTCTTTAATGGTGCTTTCTTAACATTATTTAGATTCTCTTCATTCTTATAAGATGGAACTGTGAAAATGTGCTTGCAAATTGCTTTTGAATGTAGCTGCAGAACATGACATGGTCAGTGGCCTTGAGGACTGAGCTTTGTGCAGTTAAAAACAACAAACAACCCATGAGAACTTTTAAATGCTCATGGCTATGCACAAGCGAGGTCAAATTAATCTCTCACTTCTACTAATTTGCAACAGTGTATTTTCTTGAAGTCCAGAATTTGATTTATGAAAACACATGTGGCAACAGAATCAAGTTTAGGCAATTTAAGCAATTTATTTCACCAACCAAGTTTTGGGGGACTGTAGATTTCCAACTTCTTTTTTCACATCTAGGGTTCAGTACCACAGATTTTTACTTTACGAGCCTTCCCATAATTTTCTACTTCCTCTTCCCATTCAAGGGTCTGCCTTTTTTGTTTGTTTCATATCTATATGCTTTGAAGGCTTTCAGTCTCATGCTATGCAGGCTTTAGGCATCCTATAAATTTAGACAATCTTCTGCACTTTCTCATTCCCTTATACACATGAACTAGCTTTCCCAGGTTAGAGAGCTGTAGAGTAGATCCTGGGAATCTGGCTTAGCCTTGAGCAATGTGGTCAATAACCATGAGGGTATTCCTTTTATTTCTTCCTTTAACAGCTTGTTATGCAATTACATTTTTTCAGTAAGTTGCATGTTTTTTTTCAGTCTAATGATCCTTTTGATGGGGTAACTGTTCACAGACTAAAAAGCATCTGAAAACTAGAAGAAAGAATGGAAAACATTTTGAAACTTCAGCTGTTAGGATCCAAGTTCAATCTCTGATTAAGGGTATTAAGGGGGTATCCTTTCAAAGCAAGAAAGCATATGTGCTGTAAAGTTTGATTAAAAGGTGATTAAGAAGCACCTAAATTTTTTCATCTACCAGATTTCTGTTGATACTACCGAAGCTGTGGAGTCATGTGAACTTTGATGCACTGAGATAAAAAATACCATGCCCAACGCCTCCTTTGATAAACTAGATATCTTGCAAAGTAGCTGTTTAGCTCAACTTCTTCATTTTCACATCACATTCTGGAATGTTTTGCTTGGTTTTCATATATGTATTCGCGAGCTTGGCACAGCCTGGAGAGCAGGCAAAGAAGTGGGAATCTTAGACCTCAGCCCAGGAACTGGCTGAGCTGTTTCTAATGAAATAGTCAGGTCTCACTGCAGGGTCTCTGCTAGTGGAAATCCATAACAACTTTTGTTACTGCAGTGTTAGATAATGATACCTGAAGCATACTCACAGTAATTCCCTGTACTTGTAGACTAGTCCAGAATTAGCAAAACACTCCAGTCTCACCCCTCTAGGGAAGTACAGTTCAACCGTTCAGTTCTTCATATGCAATCTGGAAGAGAGAGCATTGAGTTACATTGCTCTCCAAGATAGTGGCAGAGCCAGAAGAAGGGTTGTATCCTGACATTTCTGGGCCAGTCTGACTAATTGTAGCCATGCTGGTGGGATAATGTCAGCATAGGGTGAGTGCAGATATTTCTTTCCAGTATCTTCTCTGATTGATTAAGAGCTCACTGTTCTTCAGAGCACATTCTGTAAAGTAAGACAAACTTTTGCGTGGAGCATCTCCATGTAGAGTCCTTTACTGGGATTTGTACTTCTCTCTCCAAATGGATACTCCAGCTTTTTGTTTTACTCAGTTTTACTCAGTGTGGTGTTTACATTACACCATCTTGAGGGGGGAAAGAAGGGAATTTTTCTGTATATTAACTGTCTGGGTGATTTTCTACAGCTGCTTTGAAGGATATGTCTGTTACTTATATTCTAACTTGGATTCTATAGACATATGGCAGCGAACACAATTCTCCAGAAAGCAAAAGAGTTTGGCTGATGGAAAACAGAAAAGCACAATCCAAGAGAAATCCTGCCAGAGGAGGAGCATGAACCTGAAATTTACTGTTGAGACCAGACTTCTTTCTGCCTTGGGCTAAAGTACCACATTCAGCCAGTTCTACCATTGACTTCAGCATGGCTCTGCACAGATGCAAGGAACTGCTTTTTGGACTTGACTGAGTCTGAAGCTTAAGTATTGTTCTGGCAGCCATTCTGATTTGGAAATACACTGGTTGGCCTGAACACCTTAAGCTGTGGGACAATTACAGGGTTTCTAAAAATTGGGAATATAGAGAGCCTGTGAATTGAGGCTATTCTGCTTTTACACAGTGAGTTTGTAAAATCAATCAGAAATTGAAGTGGGCATGAGAGACTTCATTTTAGACTATTCAGTCCCTTATTAATCATATTGTGGATGGCAACAGAGGAAACATGTATAGCAGACAAGACTTTTTCTATTTAATCTACTTGTTCTGACTTTTCACTTTCATGCAGCTCAACACTTGCAGCAGCACAGGTCTAAGTCTGAACTGCCTTGAAGGTTTTGACTCATCTGTTTCTCTGCTTATTTCAGAAGCTGATAGACTCACGGGTTGGCAACCATGTCGGTCAAACTCACCTTTGTCTCTCCTGGTGATGGGGGTGGTATCAGCAGGAGTTGTTCCTTCACTGGATTCAGCACTGTGCAAAGCAGAAAACTGGCGTAAGTAACACAAAAAGAAAAACACCTGATTGTTTGGGCAAGAGACATTAGGTACCGTGAATGTTGGGGGTTTTGTTAACCTAAAATGTCAATGTGTAGCTGTTCCATATTTTTTTTGTCTTCAAACTATTGAGTGTTATTGTGGCTCATTGATAAATAGCAGTACTTCACACCATACTATCTTTCTGCTGCACACACTGCTCTGCAGAGGTGGCTGGATTTTAGAGGTTATGTATCAGACTGTTAATAGTGTTTATTTCTTCTAGAAAAATGAAGGGCTGCAACCCTTTTTGCTAGCAGCCTGGTCATAACTGATGTTTTCTGACTTCAACCTTCTGGATAGTTATTTAAAATATACTAGACCTTTAAAAAGATGGGGATGTTAATGGTGAATCATGGCAAAATGTGTAATTGAACCCTGCTCAGGTTCTTCTGGAGTTATTTAAGCAGAGCAGCATTACATGAGAGGAAGGGCTGCTTTCTGACAGTGCCACAAATGAGAGGAAGGAAGGAATACAAAGAGGCCAAGGAGACCACTGCAAATTCACTGCCATCAGTGACAGGTCTACAGTACAGCCAAGGCTGCAGCCCAGTCTTCCCGACTTCAGTCGAGCTCTGTAATTGCTAAACCATCCTGCACTGTTTTTCCCTTTTTGCTAATCATAAATTGTTACATAGTATTGCTCTATGTAGAGAACCGTGCAGCTTTTCCACTAGAAGTGCTCTTGTTCTTTTTCTGAACGTGGTTATCCCTTTCTAGTCTGGTGAGTGCTTTTAGAAGATACAGTATTTAAGTGGAAAATTAATATAATCTCTGACTGCCAGTGCATGTTAGAATAATAACAACATGATTCATTTAGCAGTATCATATATGAGTCTTGGAAGGTATGCCTCTAAAAGCATTGTGCTTTAAAAAATCCTGTAGTGTATCAGTAAAAGACCTGACTCATGTAATAAAATATATTTTCAAAGAACCAATTGACTGAACTAGCCTTTTAGTTAAACACAGCATGGTTAAGTGTGAGCAAACATGAAATTCCAGCATGATTGTGATATAATCAAGAGGTCTTTTATGTTTTAATAAATTTATCTGTTGTGGAATCTGAAAAATAGTATTACACCTCGCAAATGTAGGACATCTAAAATCACAGCAGTCTCTAAGATCTTGAGAAAAACACTGTCAACAAATGAAATGAACGAACCTGAGCTCAAGTACATAGTGGGAGTTCTAGCAGGGAAAGGATCTACCAGGAAAAGTGTTGAACAGCTGTTTCTCCAAGAAAGGCACAGTCCAGCAGGGTAATAACACCCCAAACAGAAGAGTTTATATATCCCTTAAGATTATTCTGTTACTTTTAACTGCAAAGTTTTTCAAACCAAATGCCTCTCTTTATGCATTGTTAATGATGTTGCTTTTCATTATTTAAGTGTTTAGACAGACAGTTTTGTTCAGGAATTACCACAGTAAGGAAAATCTATGTACTAGATGCTCAGTCACAGCCCAATGAACACCCAAGAGTTTTCCTCAGCATAATGAAGAAATTTTTTAATCACCCTTTCCTAACCTATCACTCCCTCAGGCACTGTTGCAAAAGACAGCAGGAGATTGCAGGGGCCCTATGCAAGGTCTGTCCAAAGGATGACACACAAATCAGGTCCACATGGAGATTCTTAAGCAGATGCTAAATATACTTCTGCATTTCTTCAGCAACTTCCTTTTGAGGCTCTCAGTCAGACATTTTACCTCACAATAGACTCCACAGGAAGTAAATATTATTCCTGTTATCTATAAAGTGGGAAATATGACACTTAAATCATTAAGTTCACAAGGGAAAGTAGCAACATATCATCTAGCTTTAAGCTGTTGTCTCTAAATGCCCATGTCAGCTACTTAACTTTTCTATGAAATGTATGAAAATGGGATTCTCAGCATCAGTGCACTGAGTATGTGTAGGCTACGTCAGTCAGCAAGAGATACTGAGAAAAATAGTGAGTTATAAATCCACACCTGTCTGTTTGCAGTGCTTAGATGTTATGCTTCAACTGAATGGAAATGATTTCCTGAATTTAGGTTTTGTAGTCCAAAACTCTGAAGATAAATATTGAGTTGTTTCCTTTCAAAAAATAAACAAAAACCGGGATTAATTTGGGCTTTTTAATTTCAAAATATAGGATTATCTTCTATCTCCCACGTGGTATCTTGCTAATTAGAGTACTCATCTAGAGCAACTGGGTGCTATGTCCTTCTATGCATGAAAGAATTTTAAGTGATGATCCTTCTAGGAGACTCCACTGCTGTTACTGGCTAGACTGTCCCTTCCAGTGTTAGTTGTGTTGGAACCCTCTCATTGTGCATGGAATACTCAAGGATTCATTATCTTAAAAAAGAAGACAATATTAATTTAAGTTTCTAATTTAACAGCTATGTTTCTTGTTATAGGTAACCTGAGCTCCAAAGGATTTGGTTAATTAATACTTTATATTAAGCCTCATAAAAACCTCAAATAATCATTGGGATGGAGAAATTAAATATCCAGTAATGTTTGGCAACACCTAATTTGATTAGATTATTTTGAGATTATATGTTTAAAAATGGAATTAAGTGGAATTTAGCTCCAGGATAATTTAAGTAGTTACTCCAAGGTTTCTTTAATAGGACTGGGAACAGCTCTCAGGTGTGCTGGGCCTAGGGTTTAATCACCACGGTTAATAATCTCCTTAGGCCTCAGTCACCTGCCTAGAACTTAAAACAGCCAGTGGCTAAGTATTAAGCTTGTGGAAGTTCATTGCTTCTCCAGGTGAGCTGAATTTAGGACAGAGCTTGTAGAGAAGATGGAAAGCTTCTTTGAGAGCAGCCAGTTGGCTTGGTGAAATGGAAAACTTCTTAGATACTGGTATTTTAGAGGCTTGACTCTAAAAGGGAGTATTATTAACAAAGCTGTATAAAAATAGAAGAGTATAGAGACTGAGGTAGGAAGAGCTAGGCAGGAATCTGATAATGTCAAAGAACCATTTGCAGAAAGCTCATTTTCTGCTTTAAACATTATATATACTAATAGCTAGAGGTGTTCTAACTCTTTAGGCTAGCACAGAAAATCCTGTGTGTGGGACTTTTGTGTTGGTATTTGCTTTTAACATTAAATAAGTTAGGTGTTAGACACTGAAAAAAACACCTTGATAACAACATCTTAGATGCAATCTGGTACGGCTTTAAGCCATCAGTTAAATGGATGGTGAATACAGGCAACAAAATAGCTATTTTTAAAGGCTTTTTATGTTAACTTTATCAGTTAGACAATGAGTAGATCAAAAGTTTGCTGCCCCATTTTCCTGAACTGCAGGTGAGAGTCAGAATGGAAATGTCCTTGTCCTGCAGTGTGGCTTACTTGACTAGTTCTGTTGACCCAACAACTGGTGTGAATTTTCACACAGAAACAGGGCCTTAGCTGGCTGCTGTGCATGTGTATTAAGACAATTGCTAGCAGTATGAACATTAGCTTGTTATTAACCTGTTACAAAAATGAGCTTTTCTTTTTCTTGCTCATTGCTCCTATTCCTCCCAAAGAAATAGGTACTTGCACAATTTTTCTTTATTTGAAAAGGCAAAAAAGAACCACTAGGCTTCTCAGAGGCTGTGTCAAGCTTGGAGATGTAAATGTTTCTTGCTGAAATTATTATTGTTGAAGTTATGAAAAATCTGCAGCTTTTCTGCAGTAGGTATTTAGAGCTGGGCTTTAACTTTCTATTGTCATCTGTGAAAGTATTCTCAGTGTGTTCAAGAGCTTTGCTCTTTTGTGTGAGAGTAAATGGTACTGGGCATATGACCTGTAGCCTGTAAGCTTTGCGTGTTAAGCATCTTTTTTTCTCCCGGGTGATGTGTTTTGCATCTCTCCTGTATTTCTTTTCCCTTTCCACAGAAAGTCTCTCGGCAGAAGTTCAGTGAGATCAAGAATGTCACTGAAATCACCCAAGGCATATAATTCCCTGCAGAAGGGAGCAGTCATCTGGGATCCAAAGCCACTGCAGGTGAAGAAAATTTTTGAAGCTTTGAAGAAAGGACTTAAGTAAGGACATTTTAAATATTGTAATTTGCCTTACCTAGTCATGCTGCTTAAGTTTGTGTATTACTGTTCTCTGTCTCCATCTGGCATCTCTTAAACATGTCTAGTGACTCTCCCAGACACTGGCTTGGGACCTTGTAAAACAAGTTTCATTTGCTCTCAGACAGTCTGCTTGCAAACAAAGTGCTCTGATGTTTTTGTTTGTTCCTAGTTTGCTACACTTCTCTAAAAAGTCAGCGACAAGTAGAACTCTATGGGGAGATTCTTCATCTATTGAAAAGCAACTAAGCTTTCTTGAGAAATTAAGGATTTCAGAGCATGCAGAGTGGCAGGGAGGAAGTCTGCAGACCAAGGAGAGCCTTGGGTAGGAATGGGACCGCCAGACCTGGAGGGTGATTGGCAGAAAGTATCTGAAGAGTGAGCTGTGTGGAGTTTGCTTTGACTCCAAAAGCTGACTTAAAACTAAGTTTGAAAATGAGGGTGTGCCCTGAAAGGACACAGTGGGGAGGCTGGTTCATAAGCCATTTCTATTCTCTCTATGGTAATTAGAGAACACTTAAAGTAAAGAATTAGATATGCTGGGGTCTTTTTATTTTATTTTTTTCTTTCCATAGAACTAAACTCTGGAGTTCAAAAGTCCTTTTTAATCTCTGAGTGGCTTGTAAAGGGAAAGGACTAAGCAGATCCACCTGAAAACTTCAGCTGACTTGATGTGATGAAACAGAAGTGTAATATAATTCCATCTTGTTATGGCAATGTAAAAAGAATTGTTTTAAATATAGCATTATTATAGAGTCTTTACTATGGTTGACTGAACAGCCAGCATTGCATCAGTACAGACTTGAGCAAAAAGGCTAAAGACCAATTTTGTCCATTGTCTTGGTCTGGCAGATATGGGGGGTATATGTAGCAGACATAGTAGAGATCAAAGGATGAGCTGGCAATCTGAATTTAGGTTATTCTGGCTTTGAGGAAGCTGTCACTTACCTCCTAGAAACGCTGATATTATCCAGTGCTGAAATAGCAAATAAAACATGGGTGAGCTTTTTCTCTTGGTGTTACAGGCTAGAAAGGAAATGGTGGTGAGTGCTGTTTGCCTCCATCAGTGATTGAAACTGATTATCCTTTAATTGAGTCTTCAAATCTAATTATACAAGAAATACATCTCACATGATTACAGTTGATGTTGATGGGTCTACTCTAATATCATAGGGACTTCATTTACCCCCTGAAGCTACTTTTGGAAGGTAAAATACTTTCTCTTGGATTTGTAAACTCTGTAGCTCTTTCTGTTGCAATCCTACTAACAATTCCTTCATATATGTTGCTGCTGTCCTCAGAGTTTTGCTGCTGTATTAATTCTGAAATTAGTTTGTTTTCTTAAGCAAAGAACATAAAAATGCACTGTAATAATACATTGTAAACTCGGATTTGTAACATTTTTATTCCAATAGAATACTATAAAGTCACAGCCCTAAAAATATCCGTCAATGTCTTATTAGTGGATTTAGTTTTAAAACAAATAATGAAACCAAATGTTTTTGTAGAGTTTAGAATTTATCAGAGCTTAGGGAGGAGAAGCCATAAAGTGGATCAGAAGTTGTTCCCAGTTCTGCAGGGAATGCCATATGATCAGACTCCTGCCAAAACTGAGTAGCTAACTAATTGACTAAAGTAACCTACAGAAAACAACTGTATCAAATAGCAATGCAGCGTCCAAATTTTAAGTAGATGCAGACTGAGTCCACTTGGTGCTGGAGTGACTTGAATTTTTAGTACAGTACATGTTTTACGTGCCTGTTTCTTTATAGGTCTAGCAAACAACTCTTTATTCTGTTAACTATCTGGGTACCATTCCAATAACTCTTTATTCTGCTAGCCATCTGGGTACCATTCTATCAAGCTGGCAGTTCTAACATACTTAAATGTAGAAGTGATGAAGCTTTTCTGAAAGGAAAGTGAACCCTGTTCTGCCACCAGGCTTGACTACTTCTGCACCGAGCTGTTAATAGGCAAGTGCAAAGAGTAGACTGCTGATTGCTGGAGTCACTCAGTGTCTTGGGGGAACTGGTTTTGTAACAGTAAGAAAATGAAATGTATCAAAGCAAATGTGAAGAAGTGCAGCTGCCTAAAATGAAGTTATTTTCACTGCTCGGAGATTGTCTTGTAATGTCGTGTTTACCAGGTGACTCTTTTTCTCTTTTAAGCATAAGAGGAAAAAGTTAGCTAAGTCTATCCTGTATTAAAAGCAAAGCTGGAAGAAGGTGGTTTTAGCAGAAATAGTTTAAGGCCCTGTGGGAACTCCTAAGGGACAATCCTTGCATGCATGAAACTCCATAAAAGCCAACTGGCACCAAGTGCTTCACACCTTGCATAATAGTTCCCATTCTGGAAAAAGTATTGGTTACATTAAGAAAATATCTAGTAGACTAAAAGATAGTGGAAGTGTTTCATGTTGCAATTCCTTGACTTTGTAAGATGGAGTTGCTTGGTGTTACTCCTCAGTAATTGTAAGAAAAGACTTGCTCAACAGATGAACTGGTTTTCTATCTTGCGGAAGAAGTTTCAGAAGGCCAAACAGGAAATTTGAAAAGGAGATCTCTGAGCTGAGTTGTGTGTGTTAGAAACTTGGTGTTCTCCTACATCCTTCTTTTCTCTTGCCTTTAGAAGTACTTCCAGCTCTACTGCCTTGGTTTGTTTTGTCCCACATTCCCAGAATAGAGCCTATCTTCTTTTAGATGAAGGGAAACAAGCAGTAGTGAATGAGTGCAGTGTGTACATGTGTATATAACTTATGCAGCAGTGTTGGCTTTCTTGAATTGAACTGCAGCATTCCAGATCTTGAGGGAGTAAAAATGATTCAGGAGGATTCCTAATGTACAGCATCTTTAAAAGTTAGGTAACCATTACCAGCATCTGGTGGCACTCATTGTGTAAAGGTGCTCCTGTAGGAGTGACTTTGCATTTAGGACAGATACTTGTTTAGGGAAACCATCCTTTCTTCTCTGTTGACCCATGTCCTGATCTATAGCCATTCACGTCTCTAGAGAATAAAAGAAGTCTCCTAGAGAAGGAAATTGCTTTTTAATGTTCTGCTGAAAAATTCTTTGAGGATGCATTTTAATTATTGTACCAGAAGAATGTAATGCTGGGTTTTCTTCCTCTCTAGTGAATACTTGGAAGCACATCAGGCAGAATTGGATTATCTCTCTGGTCGACACAAAGACACAAAAAGGAACTCCAGATTGGTAAGACACTACTAATGTTAAATACTTAAAGAACATAAAAAAAAATTTTAAAAAAATTAAAAAGTAGATGCAGTAAATATGGAAGTATTGTTAATATCTACAAATATGCATGCTCTCCTGCTCAGCCTGTGCTGTTTCTCTTTCAGGCTTTCTACTATGACCTGGATAAGGTAAGACTTGTAAGGACGAGATGAAATATTGCAAATTGAAAAAAAAATCATATGTCTACTGTGTTACTTGAAGGCATGTTTAGGAAATTTCTGAAGTCCCTCCCTCTCTTTCCTCTCTTCAAAAGCAAATTCGCTCTGTGGAGAGATACATCAGAAAACTGGAGTTTCACATAAGCAAGGTAAGGAGTTTTATCTCTTGTATCTGTAAGGCTTACATTGCTATATAAGCAAACTATCTAAATAAAAAGTACTCTGATTATAATTCATCTGAAAAAGGATGATGGTGGTTACTTTCTGAAAACTGTAACCACTCTTTTTAAAGAAGGAGGGGATTTTTATTTATTTATTTTCTTGAATGGTTCTATTCAGGCTGACTGGGTGCAACCCAACCTGAGTTTGCCTGTGAAACCAGTTTGCTTACTTTGCCAGTGTATTTAGAAAAGGTGGCTGTGGGAAGACTTGCATCTCTTCCCCCTCTTCCCACAAGGGGCCAAATGGGCAGTTCTGTAGAGTGCATGTCTTCTGTCTCTCATTTGCTTTCAAGGGATCAAATCTCTCCTCTGACACAGCTAAACATGTAGGTGTTTTAATCTGTATTGAGGGAATCAGTTTCCTGCTCCCCAAATAATTTTTCCCTGAACAGAGTGTTATTCTGCTCCTTGTCTGATAATAGCAGAATGAATTGTTTCTCAGTATCCCATGCTTTTTTTCAGGAATGCCTACAAACTGTTGCACTCAAATCAGTCTGTAAAATGCAGGACTTGCAGCATTCTGCAGTACTATGATGCTTGGGTATTTTGCCAGGAAATACTGCTGATGTTCCTTTTCAAAACTTATTAAATAACTATGCTGGGTCATTCTTTTTTATTCTTCCCCCACCACTTATATCTTAAAGGTAGAAGAGCTCTATGAAGCTTACTGTATCCAGTGCAGACTACGAGATGGGGCCACTAATATGAAACATGCCTTTTCCTTGTCTCCTTCCACAAAAGCCTCCAGAGAAAGCCTGGTGGAGCTTTACAAGAACTTCCAAGAGTGCACAGAGGTAGGAAATGCTGCACATGTGTAATGGAGACCTGATTGTTCTTAGCAAAAAATGTACCAGGACTTGCTGCCAGCTTTTTTTTTTTTCCCTCTAATGATGTGGGTTAAAAACTTATATTATGAATGAAATACAGGTACATAATGTGAACTAAAGCTTATGAGATAAATATCTTGTGGGCAAAGCTCTTGAATTCTATGTCCTTGTTTTGCTCCTACTCAACTTGATTTCATGTATTCATAAGGACCAGTGAAAAATCTCTTGAATTTCTGCTTTAATACTGGAGTCCGTTATGACTTCCATTGGAAGTAATGGGATGAGAATTGAAGTTCTGCTCTCCTGTGGAGCAACAAAAAAAAAAAAAAAAAAAAAAAGCCAAAAAGCCCCTGTCCTTTAAAGATAAGAAAATGACAAGTATGGGAAGGCATCTACTTGTGCTGCTTTTCAGTCATAGTGACTGTTCAGTCTTTTCTCTAGGACATGTGCTTTATAGAAGGGGCATTGGAGGTCCATTTGGGAGAGTTTCACTTGAAGATGAAAGGTATGTTCCTCTCTTGTTTCCTTCAAGACTCATCAATTGATTTTTGGGTTTCCTGTGTAGCAATCTGATCCATTGAGAGTCCATTTATTAATTGTCAGTTGCTTTCACTGGCTTTCTGGATCAGATCCTGAATGGAATTTGGCAAAGTTATGTTTGTTTCAGCACTGTAAAACAGATCAGCAAAGGTATTTTGTATTTGAGTAAAAAAGCTGACAAGCTTTCTTTCCTCAGCTCAATTAAAGTTTGTCCTTCTAAGAGTATTTTGTGCTAGTGGCATAGCTTCTGCACAGAGTTGAGCAAGATAGCCGGATAGTAATTTTATTTATTGCAAGCTGAGGCCTTGGGGGGACGTTGTAAAACTCTACAAGTCTTAGGAGTTTTCCTTCTCTTTTCAGGGTTGGTGGGCTTTGCACGTCTCTGCCCGGGAGACCAGTATGAGGTGCAGTATATACAGCAATTCATTTTGTCATTTATTTTACTGCTGTGAGTTTGCAGTAGAGGAACAGGAGAGGAAAGGCCCAGTATGTAGCGGGCAGCTGAAACCAGAATGTGTCAAACCCCATTCACTGTTCTGATGGGAATGGTGTTTTGGTGCAGTTACTCTGCCCTCTGACACTCAGGAGAGAAAGATGTAATTTAACATGTTATGGGAGGGTTTATAAGATGGCAGTGATTCTCTATTGAAACCTACCTGTTATATATTTGTCTTCAAAGTTGTCCTGGAATCAAGTAACAGTTGCTGCCTGATTCTTGGAAGATTGCCCTTGGCATGATTTGTATGCATTTTAGTTTCTTACTGGGTTGCTCTCTTTCATTCCAAAGGGATCCCAGTGTGCCTTGTGTTTCAGTAGCACGACACATGCTACACAATGGAGCTTTGCAGTTCTTCTAGGATGAGTGGGATATGTCACTTGACAATGAGTTAAGGTGTTAAAACCTGCAACCTGAATTCCTGCCTGCAGTCTTCTAGCTTTAGCCAAGTTCCTAAATGTGTAGCAATCAAAGGATTGGCTTTGCCACTGCTGTGTTGGAACAACAGGAGGCCTATGGACTGAAAGGAACATTCTGGGATATGTTGACCCAGCATCCTTTTTTCTTCATCATTTCTAGGTGTTTGTGCGACTGGGGCGCCAAAAATGGAGGTTGAAAGGCAAGATTGAGACTGATGACAGCCAGACATGGGATGAGGAAGAAAAGATTTTTATACCCAATCTCCACGAGAAGTTTGAAATCAAGGTGTGGTGTATAATGGTTGGATTGGAATCAGTGGGTTAACAGGTCTCCTTCCATGCTACTTACCTGTTAGGCTACGAAGCGCTTGTCAAAATTCTTAAGTAGTCTTTTCCTAGCCATGTAAAATGGCAGTTAATCAGTGTTCTGCTTACTGAACAGGCATCTATTTCTGTTTTTCCTTTGCTCCTGGCATTGTAACTCTATTAGTGCATCTCCTTTCACATATTCTAGAGTCTGGGATATGTGGGTGTGTGTTTGTTTGGGGTTTGTTTTTGTTTGATTTGGGTTTTGGTGTGTGTTTTTTAAAGGTCCCAGATCAATATTGGGGATTTTCTAGGGTGAAGCCTAGATGTGAAGACCAAACGTGTATATATATATCACACATATGGAATATTAAGACCCTGGAGTACCGTTCTCTATTGAAATAGAGAAATAGGTATATGGAAAGCATAGCATTGCACAGATTCTTTTGTCATGTTTTACTTCAGAGATGCTCCATATCTACAAAGAACCAATGACATTTATATGTGGTACAAACTGTGTGTGCTTTACATCTTTATTTAGAGCTCTGACGCTTCTTTTTTTTATGTTACTGGGAGGATGTCATATCTTCTGTGGTTAGGGATGAGTGCTAGTGGCCTGTGAGCTGTAAGTGACATCTTGGGACGTTGTAAAACTCTACAAGTCTTAGGAGTTTTCCTTCTCTTTTCAGGGTTGGTGGGCTTTGCACGTCTCTGCCCGGGAGACCAGTATGAGGTGCAGTATATACAGCAATTCATTTTGTCATTTATTTTACTGCTGTGAGTTTGCAGTAGAGGAACAGGAGAGGAAAGGCCCAGTATGTAGCAGGCAGCTGAAACCAGACTGTGTCAAACCCCATTCACTGTTCTGATGGGAATGGTGTTTTGGTGCAGTTACTCTGCCCTCTGACACTCAGGAGAGAAAGATGTAATTTAACATGTTATGGGAGGGTTTATAAGATGGCAGTGATTCTCTATTGAAACCTACCTGTTATATATTTGTCTTCAAAGTTGTCCTGGAATCAAGTAACAGTTGCTGCCTGATTCTTGGAAGATTGCCCTTGGCATGATTTGTATGCATTTTAGTTTCTTACTGGGTTGCTCTCTTTCATTCCAAAGGGATCCCAGTGTGCCTTGTGTTTCAGTAGCACGACACATGCTACACAATGGAGCTTTGCAGTTCTTCTAGGATGAGTGGGATATGTCACTTGACAATGAGTTAAGGTGTTAAAACCTGCAACCTGAATTCCTGCCTGCAGTCTTCTAGCTTTAGCCAAGTTCCTAAATGTGTAGCAATCAAAGGATTGGCTTTGCCACTGCTGTGTTGGAACAATAGGAGGCCTATGGACTGAAAGGAACATTCTGGGATATGTTGACCCAGCATCCTTTTTTCTTCATCATTTCTAGGTGTTTGTGCGACTGGGGCGCCAAAAATGGAGGTTGAAAGGCAAGATTGAGACTGATGACAGCCAGACATGGGATGAGGAAGAAAAGATTTTTATACCCAATCTCCACGAGAAGTTTGAAATCAAGGTGTGGTGTATAATGGTTGGATTGGAATCAGTGGGTTAACAGGTCTCCTTCCATGCTACTTACCTGTTAGGCTACGAAGCGCTTGTCAAAATTCTTAAGTAGTCTTTTCCTAGCCATGTAAAATGGCAGTTAATCAGTGTTCTGCTTACTGAACAGGCATCTATTTCTGTTTTTCCTTTGCTCCTGGCATTGTAACTCTATTAGTGCATCTCCTTTCACATATTCTAGAGTCTGGGATATGTGGGTGTGTGTTTGTTTGGGGTTTGTTTTTGTTTGATTTGGGTTTTGGTGTGTGTTTTTTAAAGGTCCCAGATCAATATTGGGGATTTTCTAGGGTGAAGCCTAGATGTGAAGACCAAACGTGTATATATATATCACACATATGGAATATTAAGACCCTGGAGTACCGTTCTCTATTGAAATAGAGAAATAGGTATATGGAAAGCATAGCATTGCACAGATTCTTTTGTCATGTTTTACTTCAGAGATGCTCCATATCTACAAAGAACCAATGACATTTATATGTGGTACAAACTGTGTGTGCTTTACATCTTTATTTAGAGCTCTGACGCTTCTTTTTTTTATGTTACTGGGAGGATGTCATATCTTCTGTGGTTAGGGATGAGTGCTAGTGGCCTGTGAGCTGTAAGTGACATCTTGTGGGTACCTCTTGGGGGAAGCTTGTAGTTTTCATAGACTCCTGTGCAGCTGCCACTGGCATTGATTCTGGCACTTACCTAGCAGGTGGAGTTAATCCTTAAGCAGCATTTCCACTGTAGTCTGGCATCTCTCATGGGCTGGACTCTAGTGTGACTCCTGTCAGCCTAAAAGGAGCTGAGACTGAAGGCTGTGCTGGATCCTACTCTACTAGGAATTGGTGCCAGTGTGGGGTTTCAAGTTCTGGCAGCTGTGTTAAAGCAGCTATTGCAATGTTCCCCTCCTATCTGGCAGCAAGAACTGGGTTACATAGGAGAGACTATCTGGCATCTTCCCAGCACAGCCTTTGGAAATGTGCTTATAAAGTGTTTTTTTGCTGCCACTGCACAATGAAGATTGGGTGAGGGGCT